TTCATTGCTAACAATGAATGCACAACTTTCCTTTCCTTTTGTGCCATATTATATTAACGCTTCCATTGAAATTTTCCTCAAAATTGCTTCAAAGAGATTTTATTCTTAATTTTTCTTAAAATAAACATTATTTTCATGGTTATTATTATCATTTCTATTATTATTTATTGATGTTCATTATTATTTGTTATTATTTATTATTTTATTGGTTGGTGCATCTTTGACGCTTACGAAAATAATAATGTTTATCGTAATATTTATTGATTTGTAAAATTAGAATAAAACAAAATAAATTAATTAATTTTAAACTATGCATCCAAACTTATATGACAAACGATTTCATACATCATAGATACATAATAAGTAATAGGAAAGGATAAAATCAGGTAATTTAATACCAGAATGATCGAAATGCTTAATGATTAAGTAATTCTGTTCAATATATGATTGAATTGCAAACGAAAAATTCGCTTTAGCACATATTGGATATCAGATTATTTTTTTTTAGTTTTGACAAAAGACAAATGTCAGTGATTATTAAATGTATATTGATTGGAAATCATTAAATTTCAATAATTTTTCTATTTAAGTTCAATAATTTAGTGGAGATCCAAGTATAATTAATTTCTTTATACAATTTTAATGGGCGAAATATGCAACACATTAAAACACATTTATATCGTTATTTCCCCATTTATAACCCTCCAACAATGATACTAATTATTTAATACTAATAGCTAATTAACTTTTGTGATAATTGTGTAAATTATTAGTTGTTATAAATGTACATAAAAATTTATGAGAGGTCTAAGTGATAAATAAATGAACGAACAGGTGTATTCGTTATCTTATTTCATTACTCCAACTACAAATTATATCTTTGCATAACTGATTACCCAATTATAAAAGTAAAAAACTCGTTTAAAATGTCAGATAACAAAATTTCGAATGACATCTCAAACGGATCGCCTTTGATGTGCGGTATGAATTCCGTCAAATAAATCCATCTTTTGATTTATTATCTTTGATCCAAATTACCATGTTGTTTTCTCTTTTTTCGAGTTAGAGACGTTTATTTACTGCAATATTTATGCAATGAAATAAATCGGAAATCAATGATTATAATTATTGTATATAAGAAATGAATTAAATTATGAACAGATTGACCAGATTTTTTAGGATTGGATCATACATTTAAGTTGTTTTTTGATATTTGTATACACATATATCGAGAAGATTCGTTTCTTAAGTGAAAACCATTGTTGAAGTGATGGATGGCTTACAGAAAAGATAGTATACAGACTACAGTAAACAGTAAAGCTTATCTGCTTTAATCTCAATTCATAGAATCTAGCATTTTTTGAATTCCATCTGGTTCAGGCCATTATAAAAAGTACTGAGTTGTCGGGGTAAAAAAAGAATTGACTTAATTTGATTTAATACACATTTTTCTGTCAATTTAGAAGTGTTTCTAAGCCATAAAGTAATTTTAACTTATGCTATCGTTTTTTCTTTTTTATATTAAGTCTAAAATCTAGAAAACATTTCTTCATAATTTAATCCATTTTAATAAACAATTATAAGAATAATTTTCTCCCATTTATTGGCAAATTCTGTAGTGGAGAATAGGAAAAGAACTATTAATATAAAATATTCTATTTTGTTTCGATTACTTATTAGAATTATTGCTCGATGAAAGCATTCCTTTCAATTTAATCAATTCCATCAGAAATCGTAATGTAAACAGAATTAACAAATCGTGATCTTTGAGAGTTAGGATGCCACTCTCTTTTCCGATATTTCAATTCATTGCTAACATTTGAATTCTATTTCTGATAATTATGATAATGGTAATGATGATGATGATATTTTGGTGGTGAAATATTTCATTACTGATATAATTGGAGACAGTGATGGTGACAATTTGGCATTTTACAATTGGAGCAAAAATCGTTTTCAAATCCGCAATTCGCCCCGCCATTTCCATTATAGTCATTGTTACGAATAATAAAAGATATTGACATTTGTGTTTTATTTAAGAAAGAACAATTTAATCTTTTCAAAGTAAAATATTTCATTGTCTTTCAAATTTACCTTCTTTTGCATTATTTTACTTTTCCTTCCACTCATCTGAGAAGAATTCCCACTTAAAATTAACAAAAATTTATAAAATTCCATAATGTAAATATAAGAAAAACTGAAACTGTATGGTACCGCATGTAAATGTAGAAAAGGCAAAATGAAAGAATATACTTTTTATGATGTTATTCAATGTTCATTCATGCTTGAAATAAAATTTTAGAAATTTTGCTTAGTTTGCTTAATACTGCTTTACTATCACTAATAACAACTGAATCTGTCAGGTCATATTATGAATGATATCAGGTGATAATTTCTATAAGATTTTTGTGGTACAGTAAATATTTGAATACATTTATATCATTGTATCTCGACAATTCTGACATTTCTGATATTAGCAATGATCTGATTTGACTGATAATAATACCATTTCATCCTATCACATTATTTACAATACGATTTTTATGTAAACAATATTGAATGATCTTTTTTTTTCTTTTGATTTCTTAATCTTTGCTATTGACATTGAATGTTTATTCTATCATTTATCATTTATCATTTACCATTTAATTTTAGCAAACACATATGTAAATAGCGTAGGATAAAATTAATTTTAAATACTAAAACAAGTAGAATATTTTGAATTAAATACTTCCTTTATCCATTATTCTTCTCTCTTCATCTTATGCTCATTTTTTATTTCTCTCTCTCTCTCTCTCTCTCTCTCTCTCATTCTCTCGCTTTTACAATCTCTTTATCGATTCATTTCCTTCTAATATATTTCACTATAATTTGAATACTGCAATTTTATTTTATTTCAGTTTTGAGGATAGCTCGTCACTTTCGAGTGGAATATCAGAAAATTTCGACGACATATCAACAGACGATCTCACTGGAAGGTTTATTTTACAACAGATTTTCCTTTTTTTTTATTTCATTTTTTCTGGAAATAAATTCTTTACTTATTTATGATTTATTCAATTTAGATTGACAAATCAAAAAAAAAAAATCTTTAATAGCTTTTTGTACTATCACTTTGTTATCACAGCTTTGCTATTAGAAATACCTTGTTTGAGTTGGTATTTCCATCAAAAAAGTGAATAGTTATCGAAAAGAAAAAATGAAAGTGTAAAAGAATTAACTTTAAGTAAATGATTTTTTCATTAAATGAAATAACGATTATATTGATATTTTTGTAAGCTTATCTCATTATTTTGGATGTAATTAATAACATGCTTATTTATTTATGAAAGTACAAAATCTAGTGTTTTAGAAATTTTAATTTAGTATAGTAAAATAGGATAGTATAGAAATGATACAGTGGTATGAAGAAACGATCAAATATGAACTTGATATTATTACTTTGATGGATTGACTGGCAAAGGAAAGGATTAAAATTTTGACAAAATAGTAGAGAAATAACAATTTGGAACAATTAAGATAGAGAAATGAACAGTATGAAATATCAATTCCTCGGATGATAGCATAAGAATTGGAATAGGAAGGAAAAATGAAATAGACTAATGTAAGGTAATTTCATGTTTAAATCAATCTATTCCATTTTAGAGAAGGAAAGAAATTAAAAAAAAAAATGATAACATGGGATAGGAATAAGAATAGGAATAAATATGTTTTGCATAATTTTTCCTTTATTTTTGTTTTAAAAAATTTCGCCGAAGATTATTCTAACATTGGGAAATTTAAAAATTTTTCCATTTAAATTAAAAATACCGCATACGTTAATAAGTATAAACACAACTCATAAATATCGAAATTGACAAAATTGCAAGATAATTAAATGAAATAACTTTATTTGATATGGTAATGATTAATGCATAAAGAAAGATTCGTTTTTACAGTTCTTTATCCGATTACCCGATGGTAGCAACAGCAGCAGCAGCTGCTGCAGCATATGGTAAATTAGGCAGTTATCAGCAACAGCAGCAGCAACAACACCAACAACAACAACAGTACGCTGCTACTATTGCTACTACGCGACAAGGTCAGGTGCATACAAAACGTAGTTCGAGTCACAGTGGTGGTAGCAGTTCAAATGCCTTACGATTACAACAACGTCGTATGTTAGAACGAGAAAATATCGATCAGTTACTTCAAAAATGTCGTACAAATTATCGCGGTACTGCTTGTGGTACACAGGTGAATTTAACTTTTTCTTATTTTTCTTTCTCGAATAAATCAATGACCAATATTGACTCATTAAAAGTAAAATCGAATATTTTCTGGGTGATATATGGGTAAAAAGTTTTAAATTTAACGAAATAATGAGGGAATTTTCAATCATTTAATATTCCTTCTTTTTATGATAATAAATGGAATGATATGTTAAATATTTTTTCTGATAGAGATAATAACTCATAGCAATCATCATTTATTTCGCTATTAATGGATTGGAATTGCATAACTCGAATTCGGAATTTTGGGATTTTTCATTTTTATTGAAATTTTTCATTAATTTTTGCTATTAATAGCTTATATATATAATAGTTATGCGGTCATTATATTTTGGTAAAAACACTGATAACATAATAAGTCCTTTTTTTATTTCAAACTAAATAATTCAAGAAAAAAGGAAAAATAAAATTCATTTATAATATTTTAAAAGTTACATATATATGATAAACAAAAGAAGTATATTTTAAACCCATTCATTTTATCACCAAAATCTATAGCGAACGGAACAAAATGATCAAAAATTAAACAACAATGATGGGAATACGAAGCAAAAAAAAAGAAGAGAAAAATATTCATTAATTTTATTGGTTCATTAATCAATAATCCGATAGAACTTTTTTTCTCTAAAATATTTTGAATTAATTCTATAATGGAAATTATTTTAAAATAATTTTTAAAATATCTGCTTGAATCAAAAAATTAGTTTTATTGAATTAAATTTCATAGTATAATTAATGCTTTTTTTTTCTGAAAGTGATTAATATAACGAATATAGCATTCATCGATATTGTGCAATATAAATTTCCAAAACGATATTATTTATGATAATATCATAATCCGATACAGCTGTCACTTTGATCCTTTTTGCTTCTTTTTTTTTTCAAACATTCTTACGACCTTTTTAATTCGAATATTTTTTGTTGCTTCTTTGTTCCAGTTGTAATATACTCATTCATTCATGCGCAGCTGTCTATTCTAACATTTGTTACCTCACCAATACCAACTGCCCTTATTAAAATTATTCTTAAATTTAAATCACCATATTTCTTTTCCACCATTTATTTCTTCCATAAAAATTACCTTATTTTTGATTTCATTTTCTGATTTTTTAATTTCATCGTTTTTTTTTTTTTAAACAGCATTCATTGTTGGTATGTTGTATTTTTAGGCTTCAGCACGTTACAATGATTGTGGACAGCATGCGATCTATCATACATTAGGTGGTGGACATGCGGTACCACAGCTGACACTCAGTGATGACGGTGACACATTGTGTGTGAGGAGTGGTTCAACCCGAACATCGTTACGTATGCCATCAAAACAGGATCATCAGGTTCAGGCTGGACCAGGTAGTGTTTGAATGAAATGAGAAGAAATATAAAATTGCTAATAATCTTAATTACTTAGAATATATGATATTTTAGAATAATTTCTATCTCCCCATATACATGATTTTGCAATATGAAGTTTAGAATAAAATTTTTATAAATTTTTCAATTCTTCTTTTTCACATTTTCGTTAAATTTGTTAAATCAGTATAAATTAATAAAAATTTTGCTGAATTTATTTATCTTTCTGGCGGATAGGTATTGCCATGGATTTGCATAATTAGAATGATTTCTTTTTAATAAGCAACTTATAGACAAGTATGCCACCTAATGATTTTTTCTTCGTAATTTTAATCATTTCTTCGTCATCATTTATTTATTATTCGTTTATGACGTACAATTTATATGCGGTGAAATATTAATTTGATAGTTGAGAAGTTTTATGACATTAAAAAATATTTATTTAAAAATTAAAAAAAGGAGGGAATACTAAGTTTGAGAATTGGAAGTTTGATTTTATTAAAGAAATAATATTAATTTAAAAAGTTTTTTTTTTTTTTAAATATGACGATCTCATCGGCAATCGTTCGCCTTTTTCTCTTTCCTCCCTATCGCTCCCTGCTCCTTTAAATGAGAAATTAAAATGGAAAACACTCGCTTTTCACATCTTCCCATTTGCTTCTTCCAATCTTCCAATCATTTTTCCACTCATTTCTAACATATGTATGTTAGAAATGAATGGAAAAATTCAAATTTAAAATGTATTTGAGCGAAATGATAGATCGTAAATTGGAGAAGGAGAAAAACGAATCGCTATTGAACGGCACTTCAATGATTTTTAACCGAATAAAAGAGAAAATATGTCAATTTCCCTTCACAATGTTTAAATTATCAATCACATATGATCTTAATCAAATTTCTCTTCCTTTTCGCAGATTTCAGTTAGCGTATACGTATAATCATTTCAAATAGATTTCTTAATAAATCATCATTTTAATATAAATTGGAATTGGAATCTTTAGGACTGAAACTTTAATTTTGATCATTCAAAAGCTGTAATAAAAAAACAAAATTTTTAAAATCTAAACTAGTTTTAAAAAGGAACTGATTTGAACTTAAATTGGTGGGGATAATTGGTGTAGAAACTGTGGTAAGAGATATGCTGATAATGAAAGATTGTTTGTATCATTGATTAATTTGTAAACTTTTTTACAAATTCTTGAAATTAAAGAGGAAGGCAGCATTTGTTTTGGTGATAAATATTAAATGTCACTATTTTGGTGCAATTAATTAAACGTTGTTTTATTAATAATTAAAAGTAATTTTATGGACTTTAATTAAATCTGTAGCAATTATAATATCACCTCATCAGATTGCTTGGAAGTAGAAGTAAGGAATTAAATTGTTTTATGACTCAGAAGTAGGAAGCAGCAAGAATTTATGGGAAGTGGCGAGGAAGGGGAGAAGAAAAAAGTTCGGGTCCGGCTTGAAAAACTTTGCAGAAATAGCTAAAAAATCGAAACTAGAAACAGTCATAGCAGTAACTTTGAAAGCATTACTGTTTTCGGATGAAATCAGGTTTTTTCCTTTCAATTAATAATAAAAATGGTCGAATAAAAATGAAAAAGAAAGAAATTTTCAGAACTTTCGAAAAAAAAAAATTTTCTATTTTTGATTGTCAAAAAAAATATTGGAAAATAATAGTGATTTCGAAAAATTAAAAAATAAAATAAAAAGGGAACGAGAAAAATGAATAATTTCAAAAATAAATAAATAAATAGGAGAAACGAGATTAATTCATTGCAGTTAAAATTGCAATTAGTCGAGATAATTATTATATTTTATTGTATTTGACGTATGTTACTTTAGAGAAAAAAGCTTTTTAAGGAAGATATATGTTGTTTTTTGCATTAAATATAATTGTCATTTTCAATTTCAAAAATTCGAAATAAAAAGTGTCATTTTGTATCTTTTTATTTTGCAGGGTTTACCTCCATGGCTGGATACCATTCATTGGATCGAAAAACACATCTATTGAATTATTATCGAGTATCCGATGATAATCCATATCGGTACGATGCCTTTTTTTTTTATTTGAGAAATTAGTTTTATAATTAACAATCAGAATTAAACAATGAAATAGATTGAAATTGTTTAAACTAAAGCGGGATAATTTCATGGTTGATATTGATGAATATCTTTCCAGAAATCCTATTAATCTATCTTGATGATTAATTGTCTATTTTTGATCGTTTTTTTTTCGTTGTTATTGATTTTAATCGATGAATTAATTAGAAATTATAAGAGAAAGGAAAAATGAACTAACCGGAAATGGTGGAAAAAAGAAGTGGGAATGATTGGTGGAATATTATGAATGAAAATGTGTTAATTCTTAGTGGATGAAAATAATTAATTTCAGGTTAGCAGCAGTGGGACAGGAAACATCTGCTGCCACTTTAGCGATGGTAAGTCCTCGACATGTCCCATCAAATCGACAGCAGTTTACATTAGCGCAACAAAATATGGAACATGCCTTGGCTAATCGCCACAGTGTTGCCGGTTTGTTCTTCCTTTTTCTTGTAAATTTTAATTTAAAAGGAGATTTTTTGAAAACATACTGTATATATTTGCCACTGCTTATTCATTTTGCTTTTTTCTATTTACGATAATATTACACCAAACAGTGAGCCTTAAATTATTATTATACCGGAATTAATAATTTCAATTATTTATCATCCAAAAGATAAGAATCAGAATAGAAAATGAATACAAAATCATTTTTTTTGACAAATGATGATAAAAAAATTAAGTACTGATTTTGCATGATACATCATCATTTCGCTTTGTAACAATTTTCGAAATGTTGATTATTTTTAGATTCCAATCATTAATTAAAATTATTGGTCCTTACATATATCATCTTGAAGGAAGAATATCAATGTTTTTCTTTTCTTTCTAGCAAAATTATAAATTTAAAAATAGTCATTTATATTTTTATGTTTTGATCAAGGATAAGGAAGAAGGGAAATCTCAGTAATTAGTTAATTTTAACTGATTTCGAACACATTTAATTTCACCGTAATATGCATAATTATACTGTATTATACTCACACTAATATTACATTTTTGCATAAGAATAAAATATGCCTCAAAAATTCGTAATGTTTTTGCTAATTTTGCATTTTACATGCTAAAATTTAATTTAAATAAGGAATGAATAATCATTTAACTTACCGAAAAAAATTCATTTAATTCTAATTTCTTAAATAATTACCTTAACACTGATTTTGCATGATACATCATTATTTCGCATGTTCTTAATCCTTTACTTTTCAAACAAAATTTGCTCTCTTTGCTTTTTTTGCTTTCTGAGGTTTATTTAAAGTAAATTTTTTTTACATGGCTATGGCTGTAAATGGAGCGGTAGTATATGAATCTTTTTTTCTGTTTTTTTTTTCTGAGTCAATTAATTAATAGCCATTATGTTTAAGCTTTATGGGAAAGTTTAGCGTACGTTTATTTGCAGTAACTGTTCATTTGATCATTAAAATTTGATTTTTTTTACTCAAAAAAAGTTTTTTTTCTAAGTTTTATCAATTCTCCTTAATTATTTTTTTTTAACAAGATTGATGCCTAATTAGCATAATTATATAAAAGAAATAGCGTTATAGAATTTAGAGATTGGATATTTCTTATTCATTTATGAACAGATATCATGCGAAAACTGTCTCTCTGAACTGACCAGACTAATTAGTAGCTTTTGTTGCGCATTTGATTTACTTATATAATTACTCATTAACTATTACTGTCATTCATTTTTCTTTTGCTTGCCACTTTTATAGCTAGGCGAACCGCTTCGCTTTCCTCAGCTGGAATGTCACGATCGATGATTTTGGTTGCTGGTAGTGGTTCAGATTCGAGCGGTGGTAGTTCACAACCTTCAACACCTGATAATCCACCGAATTACCGCATTGGTAACCGGTTACCGCTAATGTCTAACCAAAAAATGATCATCAAACGCATACCGCTTAGTATTGCGACACAAATCCCGACAGTTGAAAGAAATTCCACGAATAGACGTACAGGTGGTTGTAAATCTCGTATTATTAGCATCCTTATCAGTTATTAATATGTATATATAAAATATTTATCATTGTTGTTGTATTTTCTTTTTTGTGATCATTTCCATCATCTCTGTTAATATCGTTATTAGAATCAAGAGATCGGTTGCATGAAGGTCATCGCAGATGATTGACATAATCCGTCTCATAGATCGTCCAAACTAAATTTGTTTACTCATCTGCTCATTGCACCTGATGACATTTTCATTAGGCCACTGACATTTTCATTAGGCCACTGTCAGTGGATGACCAAGTAAGAGCAGATGTTTTTGTCACCGATAGCCTTTGATAATTCGGTCATCTGATCCCATTTGGTCATTGGGTAGTGACGCACTAATCATGTGACACTTTTATGAATTTATTCGATCATTTAAAAATTTTTGTCGTTCACCTGAACGTTGTTAGTATCATCTTAGCTCTTATCAGCTTTGTCTAGGCCCAAAAGTCGTGTCAATATTGAACGAATTTGTAAATTTGCTTCAGTCTGTATCTTATTTTAAATTATCAAATGCCAAACATTTCCTATGCTGCCATATTTTTTGCCATACTTCTCAGCAATTTTTTGCTTTCCTTTCTTTTCTATGGCAACTACTTGGCAATTCTGTTATAATTGTTCTCTTCTACTCTAATTTACTAATTAATCTGTGTTAACATTTTGTTGAAAAATAATTACTGGTTTCTAAGGCATGACTTTTCTCTTAATTCAAATTTCAAACTAATGCATGTTATTTTGCTATTTGCAATCGCGGTGGACTTTCGAACGTACGTGGAATCACATCAAGGTGACCCTATGTAACAAAGTGATAACACGCTTGTTTCCGCTTCTTTCTCCTATGCTTTTGCTTATTTCAAATAATTCCATTCGAAGTTGATGGAACACAAATAATAGAGAAGTGGGACGTTTTTGCTTGCCTCATTATAATGCTCTAATTAATTATCAATTCGCTATAATACATATTGCGAGAATGATTAATTTAAATTTAAAATACTTCGAATTCTTATATGCTTCAAACTATGCTATTCTTGCCAATTTTTAATTTTAAATTATAAAAACTTACTTTGAAATTTAAAATGTTTTTCAAATTTTAAAAGATATTCTCTTTTTGGTGAAATCGTGAAAATTTCAGGAAGTTCATTATCAAGTCGTAAATCTCAAATGGAAAATGCATATGCAAATTATCCTCATCGTGATGCAAATCTTCAACTTCACAAACTCTCCGATGATGGTATAAGGTATATCGATTTTTATTATCTGCTAAAATGTAAAATATTAAAAGAGGAAAGAATATAGTTGATGATGATGAGAATGAAGAAAAAGGGTAGGAGGATAAGATTGTAATTAATGAAATTTTATTTATTTGATCGATTTCATCTCCCTTTTTTCTGAACAATGCATACATGATTAGTTAATGAAGTTAGTGGAGAAGTAAGCACTAAATTTCAATGAAATCACAAATATATTCGATAATTATATGAGCAATTAGCTAATAATATCTAAGAGATTCTGAAATGTTTATCATAAACGATAAATTATAAATTGCAATATTGCTAAATGCATTTTTAGTATTTACTCTTCCCTCTTTTTTGCTAAATTTTTTGCAGATTTGAATTAAATAAAATTTAAATTCAGGACGCCACAGATGAAAACATCGCGTTATGCGGAATCTGGCTACCTTTCCGCAACATCGAAATTATCACCATGCGGTTCCGCAGCTGAGGCAAATGATTCACAATTATCTCTTACATCTTCCTCCAATTCGTTGTATTCATCGGTACACATATTCTATGAAATTATATTTTGAAGAATTGAACACATCCAAAATTAGCTTTACTTTTCTTTCTTGACTCCAATCTTTTCCAATAATTGTTTGTTCGATAGAAAGATATATACAAAAGAAGTGGGATTTTAAGAGAAATTAACTTAGGCATTTTATATTTTTATTTCATATTAAACAGAGAGAAAGATATTATCCATTCGAATAATTTGGCTGATTAATTGTTTGGTTTTAAATTATTCCAATAACAAATTTATTGTTTTTACATCTGTAAAATATTTACTATAATTGGCAAAGGGAAAATGTTTAATATTTTAAAAATTCAATGTGATACAATTTTCATTTTTGTTGTTTCGTTTTCTTTCACTTTTAACAACAATTTATTAGCTTTTAATTAATGATATTTTTAATATTTTATGATTTTACTGTAAATTTTAAAATCTAATTCAGATGGAAGAAAAATATGAAGCAGAAATTCGAAAGCTTAATAGAGAAATGCAAACATATAGAAGTACGATAACAAAATTAACTGCAAAACATGACGGTTACAATCACATCATTCAACTTTTTGAATCTAAACTGCAACTGATGGCAAAACATGTCGAAAATTTGCAAAACAAATCACAGCTTAAGGTAGCTTTTCTAATATTGTGAAATATTTCGGTTGTTTGTTATGATTTTTCAAATTAAATAATGAATATATTGAAGATAATTAATATAATTTAAGAATTATAGCTTAAATAATCAAAATATTTATGGAAGATTTCATGATCCTTCCTACTGCAATATTAATGTTATAATCTATTTATGATTGCTTAAATCATAAAATTTATTTATTTTTACGTAATTAATATTTCATAAATATATTATGATTAATAATAATGTCATGTTATGACTATAATTAATTGCTAACTCCTTCAATAATATATTTACATTATTTTTTACTGAATAAAATTTTACTGTTAATTGAAATATCAATTCATGAAATGTATTTTAGAAGGATGAAGTATTAAAATTGCGTGCTGAAATTGAGCAACTTCGTGTGATGAGCATTAACGCTGGTGTTAATGTTTCCGGGATTGCAACCATTACGCAACGTAAAAGTTCATCACCACAATCAGTCAGTTTTAAATGGATTTTTATTTAAATCTAAAATTAAAAATTTGTAAAGATTATTCAAGGAAGAAAAATAAAGGCAGAGAGAGAAGGAGAGAGGAAGAAAGAGAAAATTTTAATAGTTAATCTGTTCGTAATTTAATCATTTCTTGTAAATTTTTGTTTACTTTTGATTTTATTTTAGCAAGATGGTGCAGGTGAATTACTGAGACATCCATCACTGGAAAGTGTCACAAGTCATCGATCATCAATGAGTTCTTCAAGCAAGGGAAGTAAAACGGATAAAAGCAGCTTGAATAGTTTCGGCAAACAAGGCAAAAAAAGTTGGGTAAGTGATAGTAAGGAGAAATTTTCCATGAATAAAAAATTTTTTAATTTTATAATTTTTAAAAATTTACAATTGTTAATTTATTAACTTGTTAACATTTCATAGATGAATGTCATTCTTTTTGTCATGGTTTTATGTTTCGTATATTTTAATCATTATTATTTTCTTTTCAATTATATTGACCAATTTGAAACAATATTATCAAATAGAGGCGATAAGTTACAAGAAATTATTAATTGAATATGATGAGAAAATCGAGTTATCAAACTAAGATATACTTAAATTTAAAATTAAAATGAAATATTGCTTTGTAATTTTTTGATTTGACGATTGATTACTGTCAATCTGTTTAAATAATATAATATTCTTAATTATTTTATACAGACAGCAACCGTTGATTGCCAGGTAATCTATTTTGTAATTAAATAATTAATTGTCCTTTTTTTCCGTCTGAAAAATCATGGTGAAGATATATAAAACTATTTTTTTTTTTGAAATTTTAGCGAAAGTCCATAATGGACTGTAAGAAAAAAATAATTGTTTTGTTTTCCTTATTTGTTTATTTATTTATTACGTATTATCAGTTGTTTACTTTGCATGTCTGTTTGCGTGAATGATGTTGTTATCATTGTTTTGCTATATTTTTGGTTCTGTTAATGATTCATATGTTTATAGCATTGATGTGTTCTATTTGTTTGAACAGTGTTTAATTGAAATTTAAGCGATTTTTAGATAAGAAGTTCATTTTCGAAATTCACTAAAAGCAAAAAAGCGAAGAGTTGTTCAGTATCAGATGCCGAACATTCACCGATGCATACTTCCGGTTCACCATCAAGCCTAAAGCCGATTTCAGGAAGTGTTAGCAGGTGCTTTTTTAGAATATTATTATGGAAATTAAGATGAACAATGATTTTCTACGCAACAATTTTATTTTAACAAGTGGAAATTAATTTAAGGATGCTATTCGCATAATTTCAGGTTAGACGAACTCGAAACGGTACCACAAGTAGTGGAACTTAAAAAACAGCTAGAAGATAAAGATTCGGCATTGACCGACGTACGTTTGGACGCGCTTGATAAAGCACGTGAGGTTGATATTCTCAAGGAAACGATTAATAGATTGAAAGCGAGTTCTTTTTTTTATTTTTTTTGCAATAGGCAGTTTTAGATATATTTTATTGAAATAGTTTTATGATTTTGACAATAAGGTGAGGATTTTGACGATAAGATGGGAGAGATTTAAACCTTATTAGCATTCAACAAGATGAAAACGAATTTCTTGATGAAAATTTTAAACAATTGACAAAATTTTTTTTGCAGAATGAAAATAAGATTCTGAAACAAAATTATACAATGTTGGAAAGACGAATCAGAGCTGAAAGTCGAACCAGTTCACAGCAGTCATTGCCGACTCTGCCGGATGAAGATCCTGTTTATGAAATACCGCCAAACAGTGAACGATGTTTAACTGGAAGTAAGCTTTAAATTTAGACATTAACTGTGTTTCTGTGTTTCTGAATTAATTCTGGGCAATTATAAGTTTAATCAGCGGTGAATTCATTGATTTTATATCATTACTATTTGATAATCATAATAAGCTTATATATTATGCAATCAAATACTTAAATACTGCAGAATTCGTTATTTAAGGTAGAAGGTAATTCACTGATTTTATCTTCCGATACTTTAGTTAACTGTTCCAGCTGAGCTTTTCGTTGTTTATTTATCTGATAAATATTGCAGGAGGATCAAATTGTTTGAGAGTGACGGTAAGCGTTGATTTTAGCGGTTTATTACGACCACGTCCGTTAGCCGGCGAAGTATCCATTGGATTTGTACCTTTACCGTCTCTAACCACCACCTGGGAAAATTTCGATGCAGAGCTTTTCAAACTTTTTGATGTTAGTCGCTCTTTTAATTTTTATTCTGTTTCGCAAAATCTAAATTTTAAGAATTTATTTTAAATTATTGCAAGCTGTACTTAACATATCATATACGATTGTAATTCATATGTTTTAATTAGCATAGTCATCTCAGTTGAAGTAGATTTTTCCATTACTATATGTATGATCAGACAGTTCAATTATTATTTACTTCGTCCTAAAATATTCTGTTTTAAAGTTTTTGCTTATTTACAAACTTTCAGGAGTATATGGCAAAAATCGATTCGAATAGGGCTTTGGAATTAAACAGCCAAGAATCAATAATTGGATATGAATTTGGTGATTTTATTCGAGATATAGAAACCAGTTCCGCCCCGTCACCTATGCCAGCTGATGTACTTACACACAGTCACGACATCCGTATTTATTTGAGAGGTAAATAAAATTCATCAATAAGCTAACTTAGCTGACTTACTTAGGGCTGCAGTAAATAAGTAAATATTTGAGTAATTGCTATGGTGATTTGAAATGAAATGAATTTTTGCAATTGCTCCATTCTTTACATTTTTATTATTACGTTTAGATTTGAATATGGTTTATGTATAGATGTAAAGTAGCATGACTAAGAGTATAGTAAATTCATAAAAATATATAACAGATAAAAGTATTAAGTAATAATAGACAGTAACATTGTAATATGTGCGGTAATATTATTAATCTTTTTATTGCACACACAGATGTTGTTTCCATTATTACTGTATATACAGTGATGTGTGTTTTTTATTACTGTTCATATATTATGTTATTTTATCATTTATTACTGTAGTGCATATGCTAATATATTTTTTCAATCCCTTTATTTGATTCTCGGAGACAAGATGAATTGAGGATTTATTACAGGTGTGACACAACACAGTGTCGATGGTCTTGTGATGGATTGTTTATTTCCACGATCCACCGTTGAGCTTTTACTAAAAGCATTATTGCAAAATCGTCGTTTAGTACTATTTGGTGCTACCGGAATTGGCAAATCAAATTTGGCTCGTTTATTAGCCCGGTATTTATGCATCAAAGTTGGTGGAACGTTGCAGAATACCATTGCTGATATTAAAATTGGTGATGATGATAATGACCGAAATATGGCACAGGTTAATAGTAGACATTAATGTCTTTTTTTTTTGATTTCTCATATTTTTTGCATATAAAATATTTTCAGAAAATATATTGCATTGTAATAATCAGATTGCAATCAGGATAATTTAAATCAGCTGAATGAATGTATTTTTTAAAATGTAATCAGATAAATTTATCTGAAGATTTAGATTTATTTTTTTAATTTTAATTTTTGATTAATTTAGGTACAAAAACGATTAGAATCGTTGTTGCGCTCAACGAAACCCGTGATTATCTTGCTGGATAACATTCAACGACATCGTATTGCCTTTCTCAGTTCATCGTTCAGTACCGTTGACACACCGCCAAAAGAAGGACCATATGTTATTTGTACTGTAAATCGAGCATCACAATTACCCGAATTGGAAGTAACTTTTTCTTTTTTTTTGTAAAATTACTGTAAAAATTACTGATAATAAAACGAAGATAATCAAAAGATCAAAAACTTATCTTTTTGAATCTGACTTATTTGATTTATAAAATATAAAACAAGATATCTTTGTATTTTTTTCAATTAAATTTTTCAGGTTCAACATAATTTTCGAATGTTTTTATTGCCCAATAATATGGATGCAATTCGTGGTTATATGGGACGATTTTTGCGACGTCGTATTTTGGAGAGAGAATTTGGTGGTGATGAACGGTCATCACCAGAAATATTCCGAGTTGTCGAATTCTTACCAAGAGTTTTATCATCAGTAAATTCGGTAAATAAATTTGTTAGTAATATTTAGTTCATGACATGTTTGCATATTTCATTCGAATAATTGAAATGTTGAATTTTTAGGTGTTTATTAATAGTAAAGTAGTAAAACAAATAAAGTTATTTAATTGTTTAAAAATATTGCTTAAAAAGTTATTTATTTATCAAAAAAATAGTTTATTTGAAAGGGAATAAAAAAATTATGGAAATAAATTATAGTTCATCGAGAAAGCGAATTCCCGGGATGTAACGATAGGACCACGTCTATTTCTTCAATGTCCATTAAGTGTTACGCAATCACGCGAATGGTTTATTAAATTGTGGAATCAAATGATTATTCCATATATGATTAAAGTAGCTAAAGAAGGTTGTTATTATATGTCTTTATCATATTAGTAACTTTGATACAATCAAAATGTGACCTTAAATTTTTAGAGTTCAAGAGGTCAAGTTGGTCTAATTACGAGTGAATGGCTTCGATGTAACATAACACTATCTCAACTTATTAGAAGTTTTTGAAATATATTTTTCGCTTGGCTTCGACAAATTACATTTGTTTACATTTCAAATCGATGCAAATTACTTAAATCTAAATTTGAAATAATTTAAAGAAAAGTTTGAAATAATCTAAATTTGAAGTAAGCTTAAAAATAATGATTTGACGTGGAAAATACAGCTGAAATGAATATCGAGATCTAATTAATTTTTTAAATTCTTACCGCTTGACTTCATTGTTACCAATTCTTTATTTTTACAGGCGTGAAAGTGCTTGGACGATGTGGCAGTTTCGAAGATCCGACCGATTTTATTTGTGAGCAATGGCCTTGGTTAGAAGGATCTGCTGCAGAACAAGTTTTGCAACGATTGTCCCCAATCAAGGAAACGATGTCAAATCAATCGAATAATACTCAATTCGATCCACTTGAAGCATTAATCCGAATTCAAGCCAATAATGCCAACTCGCAGCAAGAAGTGGTACAATAAGGCTGAATCATCGTAGATTAAGGAATAACACTCCCTTCTTCTAATTTTAAAATCATCCATTTTTTGTTCATTTAAATTTAATAATCCCTTAACCTTTTGTCACATAATATATTTGTCATTTTGCTCATTCGCGGTGAATTTACTGGAATTTCTTTTATATTATCGACATTATTTATTTCCAAATCATACTAATATATTTGTATAGAAATATCAAGGCCTACATAAGCCCAGTTTTTTTGCTATAGTATCGGACCGGAAATTTAAATCCCTGTTTGTATGTGTTTGTGTTCAATTTTTGTATTCAGAAAACTGGACATTAATTAATCTAAATTAGCTTTTCCAATGCTTCTTTGTATCATGCATTCCTTTCATCATCTACAATTTATTCCGCTTTTATATCAAAATTATTTTTATTTGTCCTAATGCACATTATTCGAGAATGAATAAATTTAGCCTCAAGAAAAGGAAAAAAAATAAACAAATTTAATCGATTGCAAAATCTCATTTGAAATGTTTTCTTTTTTTGAGATAATATTTTTCTAATATTCCATTTTTCATTTACTCCTTTTTATTTACGTTTCTTTTTGCCTTAGGTTGTAGATTTCAAGCCTTTTTAGCAATTACTTTTTGCAGATGTATTAATAAGATTAATATTTATACATCACTTTCACGTAATTCACGCTGTTGATGTTATACAATGCCACGTTACTTGTATACTCCTCGTAAGCTATCTGCCAAATTTTGACGGGTTTTCTTTAATGTTATTTCATTTCAATGATTACCATTTATTCTTAAGCTTTCAAATATTATGCCTACATTAGAATATTCTGCTTTTACCAATCATTATCATTACTTCCTTCGTTCATATTCTGCTCTCAATTGTCAGAAGCCATCAAGTTGAAATTATACAAATTTCAAGTTGAAGATCAAATTTTTTTGTTTTAAGTGTTCCTCCACAAGTTCATTTTGCCTATTCTCCATCAAATCATAACATTCAATCAACTTACAAAAATCAATTTCGTCTTCTCATGTCTTTAAAAAAAATTGCTAACTTTCCACCGGTATTATTGATATTTTTGATAATGAAACATTTAGTGATCTTTCGAACTTCCCCACCTTGTTTTGATTGCAAAATGATTTCCAACTTTTCATTTAACAAGTTAATAGTCTGTGATTATTATTTATTATAAGTTGTTAAGCGATTTTTCTTGTTTAAATTTGTTTAGAAATATTTTACTACATCCATTTTTCTACTCTGCACTATATTTTTAATTCATTTTATTTGTGTTAAAAAGATGTTTGCAGTTTAATAAACGATATGATTTTTTCCCTAACTTAAATAATTATTTTTGTTTGGTTTTTTTTTTTTACTTAAAACAGTTTTAATAAATGCTTCGCAGTACTTTTTTCTGCAAAAAATGTGCTATAAGTCTGAACGATGAAAGTTTGTGGGAAAAAAGTGTAAAAAATTTAATAAAGCTCACACTTCGGAAAGACCAACATTAAACGTGAAAGTGAGAGCAACGAAAGCAAAATGAATTTAAAATTCAAGACTAAATATATGCTGTCGAAATTTCAGTTTCATTGTTGAGTTTCATTCGTCTTGTTTCAAAGCTTTGCGCACAATTAACGGAAGAGAAATGATTCAATTTGTTGTTGAAAAGAAACTATCAGATATTTGGTTAGGCAGAAAGCTAAATTCTGATTCAAATTTGAAAGCAATTGATTTACGAATGCAAATTCCGATCAATGGAACGAATTAGTGCCGCAAAAAGTAAACGATATATTTTCGAAATATGCTTTACTGAAATTCCAAAATTTATGCTGCAGTGAGTTTCCATTTTACTTCAAATTATTTGATAAACTTCAGATGATATCTTTATTCATACGTGAAAACTGCAAAAAAAGTGTCGCAATTATTGTAAGCGTAATAATGATTAGCGAATTTATTAAAAGTGCATGAGCATAATTGCTAAAAAAATTCATAAATAGATTTGATGTTTACCTGTTTATGATGCATATGAGCAATAGCTGACAATAATGACAATTATTTTAATAATAATAGCAATAATAATATCAATGACTGGCAACAATAACAGTGACAATGATAGTGATAATGATATTGATGATATCAGTGGCAATACTAATTATAATAATGATGATAATATTGAAAACAGAAAAAATAATGCTAATTCAGGAATTGTTCATTGTTGGTGTTCTTACAATTGGTATAGTACCAACGGAAGAGTTATTTCTTATTAATTATTAATTGTTTTTACCAATTTTTTTTTGAGATTATTAATTAAAAATAGTGTTGGATTGGCAATTATTTTAGCAGTCTTCTAGCTAGCTTCATTTGCTTGCTTAGCTCTAACATTACAAATATAATTTTAAGATCTTATTGATTCGTATTCACACCAACAATGCTAGTTGATAAGGAAAACTTTTTTCATTGTTAACGAATTTGAACTTATAAAACTGTTTTGAATTCATTAAAATTTTCGTTTCACTTTTGTTACAATTGCACCACCAATATGATGAACAGAGTTGAAAGCGAAGTCCAAAACTGCGACGAATTGTTTGAATCAATTCAGATGAATGATTAAAAGAAGGTGGAAAGCATGATACTAATTTATAATGAGGAATTAATTATAATTAATTGCGTATGACAAGATTTTATTAGCCGTTGGGGAACATAAACGAAAATCAACCAACCATATGACTTATCAGTTCTCATATGATTATAAAAGATGCTTTAAAATTTTGTCAAAAAAAATGCATGAAATCAAAATCCGAGAGTGAAGCAATTCCTTTATTGTAGCCATTGTTGTCACGAAGAGAGCGATAGCAGTGTAATAATGATTTGTAATAACTGTTGCAGTAAAATTGAATGATAAGATTGATCGTAAGCGTACCGTAATATAAGGTAAGATTGAATATGATAATAAATAATCAGAAAAAGATGTTGCTTAAGAAAGAAATAATTGTAAAGTAAAATTTAATTAATATAATAGAAATGAATTTGCTATGCTTAAGAAAGTTTCTGTATTTATAATTATTTCTTCGTAGCTCTATCATTTCTTTGCTTTAAGGCATGAAATGACGAAATTTGTTGAGCAATTTTTGACAGCATCAAATAAATATTTGTTAATGAGATGTTTTACAACTGCACGTATTTTGACTGCAAATATTTCAGTAATTCATTTTTTTCCTTTATTAAAAACAAATAAAATATTCAACGGATGGATCAGAAATTCTCAAATGTTCATCGAAAATGATGATGAAAAAAAAAAACGAAATGTTTTGATGTGGTAACTACTAAAAAATGTGAAAAATTAACGTTCAATTAAATTTAAAGTCATCATTGTCAGAAGCAAACAAGCATAAAGTCATTTATCGCACATTTATGAACATTGATGGTGAAATTTTAAGTGAATTCATTGCTGAAATGTATCATTCATGTTATTAAATTATATTACTATCAATTAAAGGCGAAAAAACAAACATGGAAAAGACAAAATATTGATCTCACTTAATTGACATATTTTTGATTAGTTGGACTATTTGCCTCAAGATACAGTCTTGACCTCATTTAACTCAACCAAACAATTATTTCCAAACGGCATTATTGAAGTCTTAGCTGCTAAATTGGAAAGCTTCACCGAATGTGGTATAATTTCAATATTTTCAATGCTTTACTTGATCATCCACATCTATCCTATCACTCTGAGTTCCGGATATCTAAGTTGACTGTCACTGATTCGGAAATATCCTCTCAATTGTTGCAAGCTCAGAATGAGCTTTGAAGTTTGCAATAGACAAGCAAAAATTCAACTTAAAATGTAATTTGAATTACATTGAATTCAATCCGTGCACCCTTCGGAATACCATTCGATAATTTCTAATACGTTGCTAACTGAAAGACTGAACCGCAGAACTATTATTTCCATTGAGAGGTACTTTTTACCTGTCGGAGACTATAATCTCAATGATATCGTCAATCACTCAGTTAATTAATACTGTTTTCCTGATTACGATAATGTCGAATCCGTCCTTAATTCTTACTCGCATCAGTTACTTTCATCGTGCGTCCGTCCATAATTAGTAAACTATAATGGACAGAAAATTTCGAATCATACATTCAATTCAAATGAAATTATTTATTAAATCAAAAAATTTCCTGCTGCATTGTGATTTTTCGGTTTTTCGCTTTCAAAGTTAGCATAAATTCATATATATATAGCATAATTATCATATAATTCTAGAAGAGTAATGATAGAAAATAAATTTATAAACCATCAGATGAACTGTTTCTCAAAGTAATGGTAAGAAAAAAATTTGTATAATATCTTTTCCCGTAATACACAGCTATAATGAACGTTGTGCAAAATTATTTAAACATTTTCCACTCAAAATTTTGCTAACTTTAATTTATCAAAACCTCATTATCTATTCTTCCTCCCTAATTTAAATTTTATTCTCTCCTACCCAAACATCTTCGTCCTCTGATCTCACTCCTCTCGCAAATAATTGTGGAAACGTGCAATTAATAATTTATATTTATGATGATACCTTTGCGAATTAGTAATAATATTACTGAAGACTGAAATATCAGTT